TTTCACCACTCTTATTCACCATAGTACTGGAGGTTTTGGCCAGAGCAATTAGGCAATAAAAAGAAACAAAAGGTATCTAAATTGGAAAGGAAGAAGTGAAAATCTTGCTGTTTATGGATGACATGATATTATATATAGAATACCCTAAAGAATCCACCAGAAAACTATAAGAAATAATCAGCAACTATAGCAAAGTTGCAGGGTACAAAATCAACATACAAAAATCAGTCGCATTTCTATACACTAATAACGAACTTGCAGAAAGAGAAGTCAAGAATACAATCCTGTTTACAATCTCAACAAAAAGAATAAAATATCTAGGAATAAATTTAACCAATGAGGTGAAAACCTATACACTGAAAACTATAAGACATTATTGAAAGAAATTGAAGATGACATAAAGAAATGGAAAGATATTCCACTCACATGGATTGGAAGAATAAACATAGTTAAAATGTCCATATTACCTAAAGCAATCTACAGATTCAATGCAATCCCAATCAGTATCCCAATGACAGTTTTCATGGAAATAGACCAAAGAATCCTAGAATTCATATGGAACAACAAAAGACCCTGAATAGCTAAGTCAATCCTGAGAATAAAGAACAAAGCTGGAGGCATCACAATCCCTGACTTTAAAATATACTGCAAAGCTATAGTAATCAAAACAGCATGGTACTGCCACAAAAACAGACACACAGATCAATGGAACAGAATTTAAAGCCCAGAAATAAAACCACACATCTATGGACAGCTAATCTTTGATAAAGGAGACAAGAACATACAATTGAGAAAGGAAAGTCTCTTCAATAAATGGTGTTGGGAAAACTGGACAACCACATGCAAAAGAATGAAAATAGACCATTATCTTACACCATACACAAAATTTAACTCAAAATGGATTAAAGACTTGAGTGTAAGACCTGAAACCCTAAAACTCTTAGAAGAAAATATAGGCAGTACACTCTTTGACATCAGTCTTAGCAGCATCTTTTCGAATACCCTGTCTACTCAGGCATGGGAAACAAAGGAAAAATAAACAAATGGGACTACATCAGACTAAAGGGCTTCTGCAAGGCAAAGGAAACCATGCACAAAACGAAAAGACAACCCACCAACTGGGAGAAAATACTTGCAAATCATATATCTGACAAGGGATTAATTTAAAGAAGATATACAGATGGCCAAAAGGCACATGAAATGATGCTCAACATTACTAATTATTAGGGAAATGCAAATCATAACCACAATGACATATCACCTTATACCTGATAGAATGGCTATAATTACCCAGACAAAAAATAACAAATTTTGGAGAGGGTGTGGAGAATAGGGAACCCTCATACACTGCTGGTGGTATTACAAACTAGTGCAGCCACTATGGAAAACAGTATGGAGATTTCTCAAAAAATTAAAAATAGAAATACCATATGATCCAGCTATCCCACTATTGGGTATTTATCCAAAGAACAAGAAAACACTAATTTGAAAAGATACGCGCACTCCTATGTTCATTGGGGCATTATTCACAATACCCCAGACATGGAAGTAACCCAAGTGCCCATCAACAGATGAATGGATAAAGAAGATATGGTATATATACAATGGAATAGTACTCAGCCATAAAAGAAGACAAAATCATCCTATTTGTAACAACATGGATGGACCTTGAGTGTATGATGTTAAGCAAAATAAGCCAGACAAAGACAAATACTGCATGATTTCACTCATATGTGTAAGATAAACAAACACATGAATAAAGAGAATAGATTAGTGGTTACCAGAGGGGTAACGATGCACTCTATACCAAAATTGATAAATAATAATATACACCTGAAATTACAGAATGCTATAAACTATAAATAAACTGTCAATAAACATAACTGAAAAAAAAAGAAACTCTGTACCCATTACGAGTCACACCCCATTTCCCCCCTCCCCAAGCCCTGGGCAGCCATTAATCTATTTTCTGTCTCTATAGATTTTCCTATTCTGTACATTTCATATAAATGGTTTCATACGATATGTGGTCTTTTTTGACTGGTTGGTAGTGACGTCACCTCTTTCGTTCGTGATTTTGGTAATTGTTCTTCTCTCTTTTTTACTTAGTTGATCTAGCTAAAAGTTTGTCAATTTTGTTGATCTTTTCAAATAACTGATTTTTGGTTGCACTGATTTTCTCTATTGTTTTTTTTCCCTTATTTATTTTATTGAGGTCACACTGGTTTATAACGTTATGTAAATTTCGGGTGTCCATTGTTATATTTTGGCTTCTGTATAGACTGCATTGTGTTCACCATAAAAAGTCTAGCTTCCATCTGTCACTGTACACATGTGACCCTTTACCCCTTTCACCCTCCCCCCCACCCCTTCCCCTTGGATAACCACCAATCTGTTCTCCATATGGAGTGTTTGTTTGTTTAACTTATAGATATGAATGAAGTCATATGGTAATTGTCTTTCTCATCTGACATTTCATTTAGCATAATACCCTCAATGTCTGTCCATGTTGTTGCAAATGGCATGATTTTGTCTTTTTTATGGCTCAGTAGTATTCCATTATATATATATATATATATATATATATATATACACACACACACACAGCACATCTTATCCATTGATAGGCATTTGGGTTGCTTCCACATGTTGGCTATTGTGAATAATGCCACAATGAACATAGGGGTATGCATAGCTTTTCAAATTAGTGTTTTCTTGTTCTTTGGATAAATACCCAGAAGTGGAATATTTGGATCATATGGTATTTCTATTTTTAATTTTTTGAGAAGTCTGTATACTGTTTTTCACAGTGGCTACACCAATTTATATTCCCACCAGCAGTGTTCAGGGTTCCTTTTTCTCCACATCTTCTTCAACACTTGTTATTTCTTGTCTTTTTAATAATAGCCATTCTGAATGGGTATGAGGTGATATGTCATTGTAGTTTTTATTTGCATTTCCCTAACAACTATGATGTTGAATATCTTTTCATGTGCCTGTTGGCCATCTGTATATCTTCTTTGGAAAAATGTCTGTTCAGATCCTCTGCCCATTTATTTGATCGAGTTGTTCTTTTTTTGTTCTTGAGTTGTATGAATTCTTTATATATTTTGGATATTAACCCCTTATCAGATATATAATTTGCAAATATTTTCTCCCAGTTGGTGGGTTGTTTTTTCACTTTGTTCATGGGTTCCTTTGCCGCACAGAAGCTTTTTAGTTTGATGTAGTCTCCTTTGTTTATTTTTTCTTTTGTTTCCCTTGCCTCAGAAAACATGATATTCAAAAACATCCTGCAAGTGGCCGGCCTGGTGGCATAGTGGTTAAGTTAATGTGCTCCGCTTCGGTGGCCCCCAGCGTTCTCAGGTTGGGATCCCGGGTGCAGACTGATGCACCGCCTGTCAAGCCATGCTGTGGTGGCATCCCATATGAAGTAGAGGAAGATGGGCATGGATGTTATCCCAGTGCCCATCTTCCTCAGCAAAAAGAGGAGGATTGGCAACAGATGTTAGTTCAGGGCTAATCTTACTCACAAAAAACAAACAACCCAAAAAATCAAAAACCTCCTGCTAAGACTGATGTCAAAGAGTGTACTTGCCTATGCTTTCTTCTAGGATTTTTATGGTTTCAGGTCTTAGATTCAAGTCTTTAATCCATTTTGAGTTAATTTTTGTGTATGGTGTAAGAAAATAGTCCACTTTCATTCTCTTGCATGTGACTGTCCAGTTTTCCCAACACCATTTATTGAAGAGACTTTCCTTTCTCCATTGTATGTTCTTTGCTCCTTTCTCAAAAATTTGCTGTCCCTAAATGTTTGGGTTTATTTCTGGGCTCTCAATTCTGTTCCATTGATTTGTGTCTATTTTTCTGGCAGTACAAATTATACAGCTTTTTAGTATATTTTGAAGTGAGGGAGTGTGATAGCTCCAACTTTGTTCTTTTTCTCAGGATTGCTTTGGTCTGTATTGTTTTTCTGTTTTCTATTCCATTTATTTCCTCCCCAATCTTTATTATTTCCTTCCTTCTGCTTGCTTTGGTGGAGGTTAGGTTATTAATATGAGATCTTTCTTCTTTTTTAATATGTGTTTGTAGCTATAAAATTCCCTTTAAGCATTGCTTTAGCTGCATCTCATAAATTTTGGTGTGCTGTGCCTTCCTTTTCATTCATTTCAAGATGTTTTCTAATTTCTCTTGTGATTTTTTCCTTTGACCCATTTGTTATTTAGAAGTGTGTTCATTTCCACATATTTTGAATGTCATAAATTTCTCTCTGTTATTGATTTCTAATTTCACTCCATTGTTGCCAGAGAACATACTTTGTATGACTTCAGTCTTTTTAACTGTTTGCGGCCTGATTTATGACACAGTATATGGTCTGTTCATGTTCCATGTGCACTTAAGAAAATTATGTATTCTGCTGTTGTCAGGTGCATTGTTCTATAGATGTTAGGATGCTTTTTTGAAATGCAGAATTTTAGGTTATGCTCTCTGAGGTTGATTCCTCTGTCCCAGAGTCGAATCTGTATTTTTTTCTTTTGTGAGGAAGATCAGCCCTGAGCTAACATCCATGCCAAACCTCCTTTTTTTTTTTGCTGAGGAAGACTGGCCCTGGGCTAACATCCGTGCCCATCTTCCTCCACTTTATATGGGACGCCACCACAGCATGGCTTGACAAGCACTGCCTTGGTGTGTGCCCGGGATCGGAACCCGGGCCGCCAGCAGCGGAGTCCGCACACTTAACTGCTATGCCACGGGGCCGGCCCCCGGAATCTGTATCTTTAATAAGTTCCTCACATCTTTTCCGCACAGTTTCCACAGGTCCAGAACCCATGACCCCAGCTTCCTCCACTCCTTTGATTTAATTGTTAAATGTGCCTAACTGGGTGGTGTCATCGATTGCTCTGACAGACTTTTCTATTGCTCTAGTCTTGCTGCCCAGTCAGTGGAAAGGTGAATCTGCGTTCTCAGGCTCGGCTTCCGACTCATTCTGCCTGGGCCGTACTCAGTAGGGATTGGGCTGCCTGGGCGTCACGTGGTCTGCGGCCGCATGATGGCGGATGCTGGAGAAGATTCCAGAGCGCTCTTCCGGGCTGGCGTCCGCGCGGCGCTGGAGGCCTGGCCGGCCTTGCAGGTGAGTGGAGCCGCGGCCAGGATAAAGGTTAGGGCCTGGGGCAGAACAGGAGTTGGCCGGGCGAGGCGCCTGAGGTTTGGCTGGGCGGCGTAAGCGGCGAACCCCTACGCCACCCCAAGCCGGCTCCCAGGCTGACGTTGTGGGCTTTGGCCTGTGTTTGTAGATCGCTGTGGAGAATGGCTTTGGGGGCGTGCACAGCCAGGAGAAGGCTGAGTGGCTGGGGGGTGCAGTGGAGGAGTACTTCTTCCGCAATGGTGAGTGAATATGAGGGGCTGCGACCTGTCTGTGTGGGAGTGTGGGGAGGAGGCCGGTCCTGGGGAGCCCGCACTTCCTCTTGAGCAATTGTCGCCTGGGACCTGAGGGCGAGGTGGAGTGAATAGAGGCTTTAGTCAGAATCCTGAGTTCGGATGCCTTACGGGCTGTGCCGTTGACTCATGGTATAACTCCGGACAAGTCATTTTACCTTCCTGAGACTCAGTTTTCTAATTCCTAAAATGGGTAGAAAAGTATCCACCCCATTGGTGTCCAATAGGAATATAATGCGAGTCACATCATGTAATTTAAAATTTTTCAGCAGCCACTTTTGTAAAGTAAAAAGCAGATGAAATTAATGTTATTTAACTCGATATATCCAAAATATTTCAACATTTAATCAATATAATGTTATTGAGATATTTTACATCCTTTTTTAGCATTGCGTTTTAAAAATCTGGTGAGTATTTTATAGTTTTAGCACATCTCAATTTGGCCTAGCCACATTTTAAGTGCTCAGTAACCACGTTTGGCTATTTGCACAGCAAAGATCTACACCTTTGCTGTGTCTTGGGGGTCATATAAGAATAAGGGGTCCTGCAGAGGGCATTTTGCATGGTATGATGTTTACAAAATTCTTCATTCAGTTTTTTAGCTTGGAGATGATATTAGGCAGAGTCCTTTCTTTCAAGCAAGTTTAACCATCTAGTGAGGGATCCAGATAAGTAAGTAGGCATGTACACACGGTGTGATACGTGTTCTAATAAAGAGGAGCTCAGCGTGCTTGGGTAACATGAGACTAGGAAGGAGATTTCTTTTGGAAATTGTTAGGGGAGGTGGTGATTGGGCTGAGTCTTAAGGGATGAGAAGAAGTTAACTAGGTGGAGGAGGCAGAGGGAGCAACACTCAAATATTTTAAGTTCTGTGCTATGAGAAGATTATGTGTTATATTTGGAAAATTGGCAGGGAGCTCAGTATTGGAGTAATGGTGAGTGTATGCTTGTGGGTTTGTGGAGGGGAGGAATGATAGAGAATGAAGCTGCAGGTTGGAGAGGCCCCCGGAAAAGGGTAAGACATTGGAAGGCCTTATGTGCCTTTGATTTTGTCGTTTAGGCCAGCGTTTGCCAAAATGCATGCTATGGAAGACTAGTTCCATTAGATGTTCGGTGAAGAAAATCTTCTCCGGTCAAGTTATGTAAGAAAAGCTCTTTTCTTCAGCTCCTACTTGAGTTAAAGGCTTGGATAAGGATAAAAATCACTAAAAAGAAAGCTGTTTGCCTTTGTTTCACATTAGCTTTCTGTGGATACCTTCCCTTTAAACCCAACAGGACAGTTATTTCTCAAAAGCAGAATGTGAAACACTGCAGTAGGTGATAAAAATTCATGGGTGGGTTCTAAGGTGAGTAATAGGATGGGATTTGCTGGCTAGAAAGTTGAAAAAGTAATCAGTATGGAGCATAGACTGGAGAGGAAAAGACCGATGAGAAGGCTGTTTCTGTCTGGAAAATGATGAGGCCTGAACTAGGGCAGTGGCAAAAGTCATGGAAAAGAAGGAGTGGATTAGGGCTTTGGAGATTGTTTGGCTGTAGAGGGGGAGGGAAAAGTAGGCAGGTTTCTGGTTTGTATCATCAGGTGGATTAGGTGTCTTTCATGGAATAAAGGAAACCTGGAGAGTGAGAAGTAGGTTTGGAGGGTTAGGTAATGAGTCTGGCTTTGGATATGGAGGTTCTGAGGCACCTGTGAAACAGGGGGAGAGTAGTTTGGGTTGGAGACAGATTTGGGGGATATTAGGTTAGAGTGGTAGGGAAAGCCAAGGGGGTGAATGAGCTCTCCCAGAGGGGGGAGAGAGAGAGAGGAACTTTGTGGAAGACTTTCTTGAGTTATTCTGTAATTCAGAAAAAGTAGAGCATAAGGTAACTGAAGCCTAGAGAGGAAGGCTGGAAGGCTCAGCCAAAGTCACACAATAGGATGTTGGTGTCAAGGCTATGATGATTTCATCATTGCAGGTACTTACATCCATTTCTTCTTACCTATCCCATTGGTTTGTGGCCTCCTGTATCAGTGGAGCCACAGTTGTGAAGGGTCTCTACACTTCAAAAACTTCAGCTCTTGAGTGATGGGAATTAACATGGATTATGGGTCTCCCCTGTGCTATGCATTGTTTGGATGACTCCTTATAACAGACCTTCAAGGAGGCCACTATTAGCCCCACTTGGCAGAGCAGAAACTGAGGCACAGAGCTGAATATGTAACTTGCTCAAGGTCACATAGAGAGGAAGCTGGTTAAAATAGGCCAGATGAAAGAGGGTGAGTGTGGCTGGGATGCTGTGGGAATAGGGAGCTTAGTAGGATGCAGGAGATTGGAAATCAGGTATTTTAGTGTTTTTTTTTTTTTTAAATCATGTTAAAACTTGGAATGCAGAGCACTTCAGCAAATAAAAGGCCCACTGTTTGGACCTTTACCCACCAATCAGATGTGGACCCACCAAGTAGGTACTGAAGAGTAGTGGTCAGGAGTGATGAAATTGGCTGGTCTTTGACCATAGGGCCCTGTCCTTTCCTACTCAGCTGACTTGGAGCTAGATGAGGTGGAGGACTTCCTCGGGGAGCTCATGACGAATGAGTTTGATACAGTTGTGGAGGATGGAAGTCTGCCCCAGGTGAGCATATCGTGGACACAACTGACATCTCCCTGCCTGCAGTCTTTCTTCTCCCCAACTGTCTGTGTTAGGCCAAGACTCTTGGCTCTAACCATTTGTTTCTTGAGTACTGCACAAGAACCTGCTGTGACTCCTTATTGCCTAAAGGAAAAAGTCTAGTCTTTCCAGGCCTTTCCAGACCCTGCCTCTTCTCTTTTATTTCTCTCCGTACATCATTCTTAGCCAGGTCTGTTCCTCACCCCCATCCCAAGGGCAGGTCAGGCACATTTCCACCCCTGCTCTGGTTAACATCACTCTCCCTGCTGGGGTTGCCTTCTCTTTGACATCTTCCATCTTTCAAACTCAGTTCTAGTGCCTTCCTTCTTAAGAGGCCCTCCTTCAATGCTTCAGGCCCTTACCTGAGCCCTTCATATGTGGTTGCTTCATTAGTGAACTCCTTGGGGAGGAAAAGCCCTATTCTTTCTGGAAAATTCCAAGCCCCTCCCCACTCTTGCTGCAAACACAGGCTGGTTGTATTTTAGGTTCTCTAGAAAATCCAAGCTGGTTGAATGTTTTCTTGGTAGGTGAGCCAGCAGCTGCAGACCATGTTCTACCACTTCCAGAGGGGTGATGGGGCTGCTCTGAAGGAGATGGCCTCCCACATCACCCAAAGAAAGTGCAAGGTCAGAGCCACTGCACTTACACCAGCCAGAGAGACTGATGAGGATGCGGATGCGGACAGCGTGGAGGAGATGGAGGTGAAGGGGGTGCTTCTTTGGTGGGGAGATGCAGATATTTTCCACTTTTCTGGGAGATCAGCTAATTTCACAGGGAAGTGATTGGGGGGTGGGTGGGTAGTGGTGGTGGTTGTATTATCTAGAGAGAACAGGGAACTTTCCTAGGGTCATACAATCCTTGCAAAGCTGGGAGGAGAGCCTGGGTCTCCAATGGCCACAGCCAGGAGGTGGTGTATTTAGTTTTCTCTTGTATTTCTTCTCCAGGTCACAGCCACGAATGATGGGGCAGCTACAGATGGGGTCTGCCCCCAGCCTGAGCCCTCTGGTCCAGACTGCCAGACTATTAAGGAAGAGGATATAGTGGAGGATGGCTGGACCATTGTCCGGAGAAAAAAATGAGTGGGGCTGGAAATGGTTTGGGCCCTTGTTTACTAATTGTTTTGAGATTTGTTTGTAGGGTTTTTTTGGAGGGTTGTGGACCTCCGGAATGGTTACCTGATCTCTACCCGCTCCCCATTCCTCCGTCCAGCTCCCTCCAGGGGAAGAAGAGCCCTAGGGTCCTTGGTCTTGGGGTGGTGAGACCTGGTTCACCACACCCTCTTGGGCCTTACGTTACTATCTGAGTAATGAGGCCTGGTTTCCCAGCACAGTGCCTCTTGGGTGCAGTCACTGTGAAGAGGGAGGGATGAGTGGGTGTGGGTGTGGCTGGAGGAGAAGCTAAATGCTGGTTGACAGTGGGCAGGTGGATTTGTGAAGGGAGAGGACCAGCAGGAGAACCAATACTCAGCATTAGAGAAACCAGTACTCTTGCTCGATCAGGAATGGTGAGATGAACATGCAAACGGACGAGAGATTAAATATGTGAACGAAAGTAGCTGTGGGTACCTCTCCCTCTTCTCCCCCACCCCATACACACACACAGAGCAGCTCTGTATCCCTGCTCAGAAATTGGGACCTCTCAGAAACATTCACTTCCTGCAGCCCAGCCTCCAGCCCTGGGTTCCTTCAGGAAGTCTGAGACCTTGGCTAGGTGGGGAGCTTGGGGTTCCTGGGCTTTGTTTTCTCTCTTTTCCAACCTCTTTCCAAACTCTTCATCCCATCCAAGTCCAGTCATGAGGCTTGAGACCTCAATAAATACCTTATTGTTTAATCTGTGGCTTGACCTGTGTGTAGCCTTGGAATCAGCCTTCTGAGAGCTGAGCTTCTGCACTCAGCAACGCAGCAGTTTCTGGGCCCACCCTAGCACCCTAGTACTTTGGACAAACAAACAGATGGACAAATGGAGCACAGCAATGCTCTGAAAGTTTCTGTAAGCCCGAAATAAACTGTATTTTTCTTTAAAAAAAACAAAACAAAGAGTATCCATTGTCTTCCCCCCATTCCCCTGTCCTGCCCTGTGGCCCTGCCATGGGTCTGGACGATAAAATACTGGGTAGCCATGAGGCTGAGTAGAAGCTGTAAGCCTTGGGAGAGGCGGGGGGGGGTCTGGTCACCACCCCACATAGCATCATACATGTGAAGACACTGGCTGAGGAGGCAGGGGTGGGCCAAGGCCGTGGGGTCAGTGGCACAGCTGGCACTTGAATCCAGGTCTCCTGCCTCTGGTGCTTTGGGGGGAACTGGGTGGAGGCAGGATCTGTAGAGTGTTAAGGGGATGGGGGAAATACGGCTTAATTCAGGAGGGTCTAGCAACAGTTCCCACCCTCCCTGGGGACAGGGATTAAAAAAATTAACATCACTGTAGGAATATTTTTAAAAGCCCACATTTTGTGAAAAGATGAATTAAAAAACCCAAGACCCAGCATTCGGGATTGAAAGTGCCCATGATGGGAGTTCAAGTATTGACTGAGCTGGGAGGGAGGGGGCTGGAGCCTCCAATCAGACATGGGCAGCTAGAGTGTGGGGCAGGGGGCCCCAGCTCCCCCTAAACCCTCTAGGTCTTGTCCCGGGTCTGGGGGGTTTCGGAGGGTTCAGCAGTGGCTCCTGAGGCTGCCACTGTTGCCTCCTCCATCTCTCTGTCCTCAGACAGTGTGGGCCCTGGGCAGAACGTGTCCCCACGGCCTGCCCGGCCAAGCACAGCCATCCAGCGCTGCTGCAGCTCCTCTGTCTCAGGGCTGAAGTACCAGCTCAGGTGGCTCTGGGTGATCTTGAAGACATGCCGTCTGTCAGGCCGCTCCCCTGCTTCAGGAGGCCCCACCTCAAAGCCAATGAGGGGCAGGCTGCGCTGGGCTTTCACATCCTGGGGAACAAGGACAGAGCCTGGGTCACCTTGAGGCTGGGCTTCTCACTGGTTTTGCATCTGCTAAACCCTTCTTTTCCTTCCCCTGCTCAAGAATCTTCCATGGCTCCACTGATAGCAACAGGAAAATGTCTGAACTGGGGCTAGAACACAGGTGGGTTCAAATACCTGTTTCCTGCCACACCCAAAACCAGCCGGGGTAGTCTCTTTAGCATATATGAAATAATGTTTTCAGGCCTTTGTCTAGGCTGTTACCCCCATCTGCATGTTCTTTCCCACTCCAGATTGGACCTAGCAGTGCCCTGTCTCTACTCGGGCTTCCTTCAGGAAGCTGGCCCCCTCAACTCAACCCACTTTTCCCTACATATGTTGACCCACAATCCTGGTCTCTAGCCTGTCTTTGTCTCACAAGGGTGGGGGTTCTGATTTTGCTTTAGGGTCACCCTATATCCCAAGGTCAAGGACTGAGGGGGAAGGGGGAGCAGCCTGGTTTTGCCAGGTGGCTGAAGGGACCCGAAGGAGTAGGATGCACACCTGGGGGGCTCCATAGATGTACAGCACCAAGGGTTCGTTCTCAGGGACCACAAACCATGCCTTGTGCCAGCCTTTCCCGCCCTTCTCCATGTAGTGCAGGAAGCTGCAGATGACGCTGTTCTCCGCAGCCACTGAGGCCTGTTTCTGTGGCCAGAGACATGAGCATCAATGCGGGGCATCAATGTTGACAGAAGGCCTAGCCTGGCTCCTCTTGGCTTCAACATTCTCTCAGCGTAGGGACTGCTATTCCCATATCTCAGATGAGGATGCTGAAGCTCAGGTGGCAGGAGTGATTTGCCCAGTGTCACCCAGTGAGTCAGAGTCGAGATTCAAAGCTAGGCTTGTCTGCTGGACTTGGGCCATGGCTGCTGCCTCTGAGAGTTGGTGGGAGTGGTGTATGGCTCTCAGCAGGGGCACCTAAATACCAGTCAGGCATTCTTTCTTCCATCAGTCCATTTATTTCTCAAGTCATTTATGCATGTAAACCTCACCATATTTTTTCATCTGGCATCACATGTCCATTCCCTGCACTCAGCGAAAGGCAACCTAGCATTGTGGTTAAGAGGATGGGTGGGTGGTTAAGGCAGTCTGGCTCAGAATCTCAGCTCTAGAAGAAAATGTATTGACTTGGAAGGAGAGCATATAGAGTTGTTGAAAGGATTAAATGAATTAATATATGCAAAGTGCTTAGAATAGTGCCTGGTACAGAGTAAGCATTCTTTAAATGTTAAATAAATACTTCGATTTGGTTAAAAAACAAAAACAAAAATGTGTGTATGTGCATGCACCTAGAAAGGTAGGAAGGTTAAGTGTTAATAGTGGTAATCTCTGGAGAGGCGGAATATGGTGTTTTTATTATTTTTGTTTATATTGTCTAATTTTCTTCAGTGCACATAATCTACTTTGTGATAAGAAAAGGTAATTTGTTAATTAAAAAAAAATCCCAGCTCTGCCACTCATTGGCTGTGTAACTTAGGCAAATAACTTCCCTGGGCCTCAATTTCCTCATTTGTAAAACAGGGATAGTAATAGCATGGATAGATTAGTTCCTGAGGATTAAATGTCTAAAGCACTTAAATGAAAATTACTTCCATTCACTCTTGCACTCGTTTGCTCACGCCAAGCCTGGGTCACTTGTTCAGTGGATGTACATGCACCCTACAGTTTCAGAGATGCCCAGGCCTCAGTCATACTGGGTGGGTGACTGGGGCGCATGTGGTCAGTGTGGGAGGTTAGTCGGGCCTGAGTCTTACCTCCAGGATGGACCTCCGGCGCTGGGGTGTATGCTGGCTGCAGGCTGGGTTGCTCCCGGGCACTCCGTGCAAGGCCACATAGCAGTCAGTGCACACACGGTTGGAGCGGTTATTGTCATAGATGAGGCGGGCCCGGAACTCAGAGCACTTCCCACAAACCACCTGGGGTGGCAAGTGGGCAAGAGCAGCCTGATTCCAGCAGGCCTTCCCCTTCAGTGTACCAATTCCCACAGTGGACTTGCAGCCTCCCCAACTTGGAGGGTGCCCACTCATAAGTAGGCCTTCAGGCTGCCAGCCTGTCCCCTCCCTAGCTCTGCCCTTTTCTCCCAACACTCACATGCCCACAGGCCTTGCAGTGGTGCCTGCGTTTGGTGATGGAATTGAAGGGCTCCTGGCAGCGCATGCACATGGTGACTTCCTTTTCTCGGATGGGCGTAGGTGCCCGCTTCCCAAGATCCATGTTCTGGAGAGAGGGCCAGGTCCCAGTTCAGAGTCAGCTACTCCCCAGCCCAGTCCAGCCAGCCCTTGCCCCTGCCCCAAAGCTTGGATCATCATTGGGAGGCAGCAGACACATTCAGAAGACCTGCCTTTGAGTCCTGGCTCTGCCCCTATGTCACTGTGCTACTGAAGAAAGGTCACTTGTACTTTCTGGTCCTCTGTTTCCCCAATGATTTCTCTGTGGCCCTACCAACAGAATACTGGACTTCTGAGATCCTGCACTACCTCTCTGGTCTTTACTCTCTGGGAGAGGGAGAGGAGCATCTCAAGGTAAGGTGGGGGACTTGGAGGCCTGGAAGGGGTTCCAGTGTAGGGGTACAGGGTAGGGACTCTTACTGGAGAGTTAGGGGGTGTGTCTTCATCTTCCCTATTTGTTGAGTTCAACAGTTTGAAGGTCTCCAGCGTCTGTTCATGCTTGAGGAGGGTGGAGTTGATGGCCTGGGGAGGATGTGTAAGACATGAGAGATCAGATCATCTCAAAACCCACCCATTTCCACCCTCACCTTCCTATGACCTAGCCTGGAGTCAGAAACATTGGGTTCTAGGCTCGGCTCTGCCCCTTACTTAGGTGTATGATCTTGAGGAAGTCCCTTCCCAAATCCAGGTCTCAGTTCTTATATTTGTGAAATGGAGGAAAGGGATCAATGGCTGAAAAACCTCAGAAGGCCTTCCTGGCCACTTCCTGGGCTTAAGGTTTTACAGGGCTTACCTCACTGGGGTTATACCCTCAGAGAAGCCAGCTTTCTAAAGGAAGAATTTGTGAGTTTCTGCTTAACCTCTGGACATCAGTTTGCTTATTTGTAAAATGGCGATGGTAAAGTTTGTTGGAAGGCAAGTGTCCAGGCCCATTCTGGTCAGATGTGAGTTTTAGGGGAGAGTCCACCAACCTCTAGGAGACCTGTTAATACTCCTCCAGCCCCCCACCACAAAGCCTTCTTAGATGTTACCTGGACCCAGTCTTTCTTCTCCTCCTCAGTCCTTGGGAGGAAAAAAAGAAAGATGTTGGGTTAGGCAGGCCAATCAAAAGCAACTGGAGTGATAAAGAGCAGGTGTTTTGAAGTCAGACAAACCTGGGTTTGACCCTCTGCTCCCTCATTTATTACTCGTGTGACCTTAGGCAAGTTATTTAACCTGAGTTTATTTATTTCAACAGTTACTAATAATTTCCAGATCCTGTGCTAGGAACTTGGGCCTCAGAGAGGACCCTATCCTCAAGGAGCTAGCTCATGGTCTAGGGGGGGAGACAGGGGCAATACAGAGGGATCAGTGCTGTGACAGAGTGAAAATAGGGCTGAGGATCCCAGAAGAGGAGACCTGCCCCAGCCTGGAGTTTGGGTGGGAGTGGCTAAG